GCCACCCTGATTCTCCTTCTCCCCAGCCAATCTATATATAGCCATGCAGACTCGACTGAACCCACTTGCCCGGATCCTCTTCCTTTCCCCATTTCCCCCCCTCCTTCCCCCATTCCCCCCTCAAGCCCCCCCCCACCATGGCACGCACGCACCTGTCGATCTGCACGAGCCCCCTGCCATGGGTGAGCGCCAGGGCTTGGTCCTCCTCCCCACCCCAGGCCACGGTAACCGTGTTAACGCATCCCTCTCGCCCATATCCTCTCACTTCCCCCACGAAAACCACCCTGGCAGCACGCACCTGTCGATCTGCACGAGCCCCCTGCCGTGAGTGAGCGCCAGGGCTTGGTCCTCCCCGGCCAGATCCTGTGCTGTCACCTCCAGCGCACGCCTTATGGCATGCGGTCCTGGCTTCGCCACTCCCATGTCTTGCTGTGGTGGCGGAAGGAGGGGCACGGTGGGTGGGTGGGGCAGGCAGGATGGATGCGATTGACCAGTGGGTGGGTGGGTGCATAGGGTATGCAGCCTGGGGGGGGTTGAAAGTGTTCCACTTCAGAGAGTGGCTCTTGTGTCACCTCCAGCACGCGCCGTATGGCATGCCCTACTTTGACTGAAGCACCATTACCACCAGACCATTCCAAAAACCCAAAAACCAAAAACTGCACCCCAAAACCCGAAGCCTTGTGTGCACGTGCACGGTAAGTACCGTCACCCTCGGCGATGAGAGATGAGAAAATACACGCCACCCTCGGCGTTGGGAGAGGCCATGAGCATGCGCAGGTGCAGGTGTGCCAGGGGCACCAAAAGAAGCACCACCATCACCACCAGACCGTTCCCTCCATTGACCCTTGCCCCTTGCCTCTGGCACCTGGCAGCACTTGTCGACTTTCGACTGAAGCACCACCATCACCAGAATGTTCCCTAAGCCCTTCGACCCCAAAACCCGAAACCCTGTACCTTGAGGGCGGAAACAAGCACGACCACGCCACCAGCGGCGTTGGGAGAGGCCATGGAGGTGCCGGCCATGAGCATGCGCGACTGCAGGTGGGCCGTGGGCACTACCAAGTGAAGCACCATTATCACCAGTAGTACGGTACCTACCTTCAAGGCTGAAACAAGCAGAGCCACGCCCCCTGCGGCGTTGGGAGAGGCCATGGAGGTGCCGGCCATGAGCATGCGCGACTGCAGGTGGGCCGTGGGCACGGGTGCCATGGCGCCCCCTGGAGCACTCACACTCACGCCCTCGTGCCCGTCCGGTGTTGGGCCTCTGCTCGACCTGCAAGCACCCGTGTGGTTGTGTGTGGGGGGGAAATGGAGGGTGGGGAAGGGATGGGGGGACTGTTTTTTAGTAGCCATGGCATGATGGCACCCAGTCACGCCCTCGTGACCATCCGGAGTTGGGCCTCTGCTCAACCTGCAGGCAAAGATGTGGTCGTGTGGGTGTGGGGGAGAGAAAGTGGAGGGTGGGGAGGGAAGGGCCATGGCACCCCCTGACGCACTCAAACTCAAGCCTTCATGCGCCTCTGGTGTCGGGCCTCTACTTGACCAGCAGTGCAAGCACACATGCGGTCATGTGCAGGAAGGAAGTGGAGAGTGGAGAGTGGAGGGGTGCCTTGGAAACGCCCCCCTGGCACATTCACACTCACGTCTTTGTGACCGTCTGGAGTCGGGCCTCTGCTCGACCTGCGAGAAAATGTGCGTGCACGGGTGGGAGGGTGGGGAGTGGCGCGGATGAGGGGACTGCATTTGTTAAGTCGCCGCCATGGCGCACTCACACTCACACTCCCGCCCTCGTGCCCGTCCAGAGTCGGGCCTCTGCTCGACCTGCAATCAAATGTGCGGTCATGTGCAAGGGTTGGGAGGGTGGGGAAGGTAGCGGGGACTGTGCTTGAGGTGCCATGGCGCCCCATGGCGCACCCACACTCACGCCCTCATGCCCGTCTTGAGTTGGGTTAAATTGAATAGCCAGGTTCTCACCACCCCTCGCTCCCTTTCCCCAACCACCCTGCACCCTCCACCCGCTCAGCCCCCGACAGACCCCCACCCACCCCAGGCCCCCTTCAACCATCCCCCACCCATCTCCGATCCCCTTCCTCTCCCTTTAGCGCGCACCAGGTGTACTGCTGGCCGTCAGGCAGGGCGTCGAGAGTGAGGTGCGACGAGGCGGCGAGGGACGGCGACACAAAAGCGCCGATGCCGATGATAGATGACGTCGTGCCGCCCGGTGCTGTCACTGTGGACAGCGCCGGCCCGTCGTTGCCTGCACTGCTCACAAACGTGATGCCGTACTTGTTCACTATCTGTGCGGGGGGGGGGGGGGGGGGGGGGGTTGAGGGGAGGGGAGAGACAGGATGTGAGCTGAGCTTAAATTGCCGTTGCCCGCCCGCGCTGCTCACTCACAAACGTGATGCCGTACTTGTGCACTATCTGCGCGGGTGGGTGGGTTGGTAATGGGAAGAAAGCAGAGTAAGATGAGTTTATTCACACGCATAGGCGTGGTGAGTAGTTCTCAATGCTCACCCGCATTGCTCACAAGCGTGATGCCATACATACATGTGCACTAAACGCGGCATGAGGAAGGGGAGTGGATGGGTGTGTATGTGAGCCCTCTGTGAAGTTTGAGTCGACTCAAAGAGGTGACTTTTGGATGGATGGATGGACGGTTGGGAATGTGAGCTCTCTGTGAAGGAATGGCGAGAAGTCATACCCCTCCCACCCACCTCCCATCTTGGACCCCACTTCCATCTCAACCCCTCTCCCACCTCCCACCTCCCACCTCCCACCTCCCACATGTCAAAAGAGCCATGCCTTCCCCTCTCTGGCACCTGGTTGGCGATGTCAATGAAGCGGCCATAGTTGGGCACAGCCACCACCAACTTTTGAGACGTCTCAAAAGCCGCAGCTAGCCCCCCTTCCCCCCCACCCCACACGCACCTGGTTGGCGATGTCAATGAAGCGGCCATAGTTGGGCAAAGCCACTGGCTCGCCATAGCTCATGTTGATCACATCGCACTTGTTCTGCGGGGGTGATATAGGGGGCAGGAGGGGGAGACAGCGGGGGAAGAGAGGGGGAGACAGGAACAGGAGGGGGCGACGAGGACAGAAGGGATAAGATGAAGAATAGGGATGGAAAGAGAGACGGAACAGGGTGGACAGGGAGGGATGTTGTAAGTGAGGCAACTCGTCTGCAGCTTGTGATCGTCACATTATAACAAATTTAATGACGGAGAACAAGCAAACAGAGACAAACATGATGGCATCTCATTCGAATACACCTCTTCCTCCTCCCACCTATCACTTCCCACCTACCAACTTGCCCCACCCAGCAGCAAGCCCACCCGACCCGACCACCTGTGGAGTGGAACGTCTTAAAACTGTTGAAAAAACAAATTCTTAAAGCAGTACAAGGTCCCCCACCTGCTGAGCGACGATGAGTGCGCGGATGAGCCCCTGAGGCGTTTCCATGGACCCCAGGCGCGTGTCCCCCACCTTGCACGACACCAGCTGCGCACCTGGCGCAATGCCGTTCAGCTCTGGTGCCTGACGGGAAGGAGAGGGGAAGGGAAGGGAAGGGAAAGGAAGGGAAGGAGAGGGGAGGGTAGAGAGGGGAACACACAGACGTGTGAGCGCCCACCTTGCACGACACCTATGCCGTTCAGCTCTGGCGCCTGCAGGAGAATGGGGGGGGTGGGGGGAGAGATGGAGGAAGGTTTAGAGTGGGATGGAGAGTGATAGAGAGAGATGGAGAGGGATGGAGAGGGGAGGAAGAGGGAATGGGGAAGAAGGAGAGGGAAGGAGAGGGAACCAGGGTTTAGCGTAGAGAGGAGAGGCGGATAGAGGAGCGGGAGGACAGAAGAATGAGCAAGCCCGTGATGAGGGAAGAGAGGGGCGATAGAAGAAGGATTGAACCAGGGGGGAAGAAAAGAAGGCGTCCGAATATTGGGAAGGTATAAAGGGAGAGAGTGTTGGGAGAAAGAGGAAGTGGGAGGGAGGGAGGGCGGGAGGGAGGGAGGGAGGGAGGGAGGGAGGGAGGGAGGGAGGGAGGGAGGGAGGGAGGGAGGGAGGGAGGGAGGGAGGGAGGGAGGGAGGGAGGGAGGGATTTGAACAGAAAAGAAGCTCTTCGGAAAGTAGCGAAGTAGAGTAGAGTGAGGAACTGCATAAGCGTACGGCCTTCAATTAGTGTCCAACAGTCATCCACCCAACCCCACCACTCGCCACACACTCACCCTACCCAACCCCTCCCAGCCCAACCCAACCCAATACCACTCTCCCACACCATCCATACGTCCCCAACCCAACCTTACACCACCTCCCCATCCCGCCCACTTCACGAGTCCCAAAAAAGGTTAAAAAAAAAAAAAAAAAAAAAAAAACTGAGATAGAAACCAAGGGATCACCTCAGGGTGGCAAGCAGCCACAATCCCTGCCACGTGGGTGCCGTGTGCACTGGCTTCTGTGACTATAGAGAGCACCGCGCCCTCATCGTATATGTTCACACCGAACCCACACGCGTCCATCGGGCTGAATGTTGCATGCTGCCGCTCCAACCTGGGAGAGCGGGTGCGAAGAGATGAGATGAGGGCGTGTAAGGACCAAAAAACAGTCGTCGACTAGAAAATCGGTCCGGTATATGCGGTCTTAAGACTTGTAAAAAAGGCACTCACCTGTAGTTGGTCATAGGGGTGAAATCAGCCAAGCGCCCAGGCACAACAGCAGGCTTAGCCTCCCCTTCTTCCTCCCCAGACGCCCCAGATGCACCACCAGCAGCACCAGCAGCAGCAGCAGTACCAGCAACACCAGGAGCAGCATCAGCAGCATGAGCGATGTCAACATAGAGGTCGGTGGTATCAAGAGCTGCACGCCAAGTGGTGCCATCGTGCCACACCACGGCGTCTATCAGCGGGCCCATATCCTCGTATGACTGACAGGTAGGAAGAATGGGAGGCGAGGGGGGACGTAGAGAGGGGAGAAGGAAGATTGGTGAGAAGCCCTCACACGTACGCACACCACTGTGTCTATCAGCGACAGCAGCCCCATATCCTCGTATGACTGAGAGGCTGGAGGAGAGAGGCGAGGGGGGAAGGAGCAAGGGGTGGAGAGGGGTGCGGAGGAAGATGGGAGTCAGCACACGCACACAGAGCAGCAGCAATCAGTTTGAGTGCACACACACGGAGACCCTCACAGACGCACCGCTGCATCTATCAGCGGCCCCATGTCCTCGTAAGGAAAGGACTGAGACCGCAGGAGAGGGGTGAGGGGGGCGAGTGGCAAGGATTGCAGGGAGAGAGGGGCGGAGGAAGATTGGGAATCAACACCACGCAAGTAGAGCAGCAGCGGCAGCGCATTTGAGAGCACACGCACAGAAACACCCACTTCCATACAACTTCACCTGTTAATCCCCCAACCCCAACTCCGCCCAACCCCGAACCCCCCCCACCCTGCCTCTCTCCCTCCCCCACTTTGCCTCCCCCACTCACGCCCTGCATGAATTGCAACAAATCTAATCGCACCTGAAGCTCCCTATTCTAACGTTGGAGGAACCTCCATAACAGACCCTCGCCTCCATAACAGACCCTCGCCTCCATAACAGACCCTCGCCTCCACACCCCCACGCCCCACCCCCAACCAACCCCACGCCCTGCCGCCCCCCCCCCCCCCCCCCACACGCCCTGCCTCCCCCACTCACGTCCTGCATTGACTGCAGCAGGTCCAATCGCGCCTGAAGTTCCTCCTTCTCCTTCTTGCCTGCTTCGTCCTTGGCCTTGGATGGCTTCTGCTGTGCGTGTGCGTGTTCGTGTCACGCAAGCACACACAAGCGTCCAGCGAGCAAACGGTCAAGGACAAGCGCACGCACAGATCGAGAGTGGGAAGGCAGGAGAGGAAAGGGCGGTGGGAGGGGGGGGGCAGTGAGCAGCAGCAGACTCTCGTCTTGCCTCACTTCGAACGCATCTTGACTCAACATTCCACCTAGTTTTTCCCGAAATAGATTCCCCCACCCACCCCTTCTACCCCCCCCCCCCCCCCATTCCAAACTGTCAACTAAACTTTCTGAGCCTCTTGTACCCTCCACCTCACGTTCCTCCCATACTCACTCCCACAAACAAGCACCCTTCAATTCCCCCAAAATCATAATTCTATCTACAATCTTCCTTCACCTTTTCCACTAGCCTCCTTCCATCCTCGTCTCTCTCTTGGTTTCTTTCGGAGGCCCGCTCGGCCGCTTGTCGGCTCGCACACCTGCTTGTTGGCAAAAGAGCGTGAAATGAACTAACTACCAACGACTTGCAGATCAGAAACCCAGCGCATCCTACTACCAACGCCTACTGCTGCGCATCCTACTACCAACGCCTACTGCTGCGCATCCTACTACCAACGCCTACTGCTGCGCATCCTACTACCAACGCCTACTGCTGCGCATCCTACTACCAACGCCTACTGCTGCGCATCCTACTACCAGCGCCTACTGCTGCGCATCCTACTACCAACGCCTACTGCTGCGCATCCTACTACCAACGCCTACTGCTGCGCATCCTACTACCAACGCCTACTGCTGCGCATCCTACTACCAACGCCTACTGCTGCGCATCCTACTACCAACGCCTACTGCTGCGCATCCTACTACCAACGCCTACTGCTGCGCATCCTACTACCAACGCCTACTGCTGCGCATCCTACTACCAACGCCTACTGCTGCGCATCCTACTACCAACGCCTACTGCTGCGCATCCTACTACCAACGCCTACTGCTGCGCATCCTACTACCAACGCCTACTGCTGCGCATCCTACTACCAACGCCTACTGCTGCGCATCCTACTACCAACGCCTACTGCTGCGCATCCTACTACCAACGCCTACTGCTGCGCATCCTACTACCAACGCCTACTGCTGCGCATCCTACTACCAACGCCTACTGCTGCGCATCCTACTACCAACGCCTACTGCTGCGCATCCTACTACCAACGCCTACTGCTGCGCATCCTACTACCAACGCCTACTGCTGCGCATCCTACTACCAACGCCTACTGCTGCGCATCCTACTACCAACGCCTACTGCTGCGCATCCTACTACCAACGCCTGCTGCGGCGCATCCTACTGCTGATCTGATACGTCTCGAAACGACTTTTGAGACGCCTCAAAACTCCTCTCATCTTTCTGACGCGCACTCGCCGCTCACCGATTCAAACTCGGCGAGCTGGCGAAGAGCCTGCGTGACCAACGCCTGCTGCCTTGCGTCCCACTTCTTGCGACGCTCCTTCTGTTACGGTGTGATGTGGTGGTACCCACGTGCCAGTGATGGATGGATGGATGGATGGATGGATGGACGGACGGACGGACGGACGGACGGATGGATGGATCATGGGTGAATGAGGGTGCGGAGCGGATGTGCAGAAACATGAAAGGAGCAACAGGGGCGTAATAAGTTGGCATGTGCAGAGGAAAAAACGTGGAGCGTACGCACGCACCTAGGCAGCGGCAGGACGTTTTTACAAGTTCTCCGAGGCAGCGAGACGCACTTCTACTCTCTCTTGTTCGCACCCACCCCCACACCTTCACCCACACACGCACCTTGACTCGGTCCAGCACAGTTTCATTGAGCACGTGATAGAGAGGCTTCACGCCCACACGCCACTCCCCTGATGGGTTGCTCCATGCGCTGTTCACCTGCAGCCGTGCACCTAGATATTGCCGCCAAGGGGGAAATAGAGCGGAGATGAGGGAGATGGGGAAGGGCGTACTATGTGTGGTCAGCAACTCATCAGGCTGAAAAGAAAAAGGTCAATCTCTTGAGGGTTCTCAAGAAAAAGGGTCAATTTGTTGAGGGTTCTCAACTCAACACTAGTCTGAGTAGTGGGTTTGCATGGCCAAGAGATACAGGGCATGAGAGAGAGGTGCAGGGAGGTGGAGATGGTGGGGATGTCAGTGCCTTGCATTGCACTGGTGATTTGACCTGCTCCCAGCAGCATGGGGGGTGAAGGGTCAAATCACTAGAGAGTAGAGCACTAGAGATTCTCAACTAGAGAATACCAAAGACACGCTCCAAAGCGAAGTTTGACTGAGTCACGTACGAGAGAGAAGGGAGGGGCGTAGGGGGAGCACCTGACGCTGGGAGGGCACTGAAGCTGGGAGGGCACCTGAAAATATGAGGGCACCTGACGCTGGGAGGGTACCTGACGCTGGGAGGCACACCTGATGCTCCTGTGATGTAGCCATCTTTGTCTGCCTTGACCACTGTGCTCATGTCCACGTCCCCACTCCCCGTGCTGCTCACACACACACACACACACACACACATGCATGCACACACACACACGCACACACACACGCGCGCGCGCACGCGACGGAATGAGAAGGAGGAAGGGGAGAGCCGGTTGAACAAGGCAAACAAGGGGCAAGAAGTCCGGGATGGTGACATGATGGCAAGAGCACAAGGACGGCGAGACACGCACACATGAAGGTATGCATGCATGCACGTACGTGCGCGCGCGCGCGCACACACACACACACACACACACACACACACACACATACACACACGCGCGCGCACACACACACACACACACACACACACACACACACATACACACACGCGCGCGCACATACCAGTCGACAACATCGATGACCTTGGGCTTGCCATCGGTCGTCACCTGCAGGCCCGACGCCCCCGCATCCACCCCCGAGTCTGTGCACGTGCACACCGGAGAGAGCACATGGAGGATAAGGAGAGAAATGGTTACTCCCTGGGAGATTTTATAGCCATTAAAGACTTCAGCCCTTGAAGACTTGAAGCCCACTGAGGTTTGAGGCTTGGATTGATCCATTCCCGAGTTTGTGTTTGTGGATGCGTGGAGGGCACACAGGGGAATAAAGTCTACGACTCTACATTTCTTTGGCAAGGCCACTCTTGAGTTGCACACATGGCCGGATGGAAGGGGCAAGGGAGGCAGGAGAAGGTTCTTTAAACGCTTAATGTAAATCAGCTTGCTTGACTCTTGCAGCAAACCAAACTCGAGGGACCAAAAACAAAATAAAGGAAACAATTTATAGTGTATTTACCATTAAACAGCAGAATTAACGAAAAAAGTTTACCGAATATAGCGACGATCACCCCTCGTCCATCAGCATGAGGGTGCGACTGCAGGAACCGCTGCGCGCCAATCTCCTCTTTCGGCATCAGCCCCGCCAGAAACGGGGCGACCGCCGCGCTGTCGCCGGATCCCGCCGCCACCCCGCCTGTGCCGCCGGCCGTCACCGTCGCGCCGCCGTGCGCCGCCGACGCTGCTACCGCGACGCCCGCTGCTGATGCTCCAATCGCGACGTTCGCACCGCCAGCGGATTCCGCGGCGGCCAGTCCCCCCGCTGATAACGCGGACACGGAGGCGGAAGCGGCGGTAGCGGCGGACGGCTGCGCGGCACCCGCTGCAGCTCCGTGCATCGCAGCCGAGTGCTCTTTATTAGTGGCTTTAATAGGCGGCGTGCTGTGCTTGATGAATCTCCCGCCGGATCTGGATTTGTGTGATCTGGCGGGTTCAGCCTGGGAGCTGGACGGACGAATCTGATACCGGGTTCGAATCCGCGCTTCGGATATCAAATGCTGGGACTGGAGAGAGGTGAGTGACGGTGGCCTCAAAAACGGGCTCCGCTGTAGCGAATGTTGACGCGATCCGCGATTAGAGATATAAACGAAAGACAACAAAGACGCTAGATTGCGGCTTGACGAGGAAGAGGATTTAGGCGAAGACGAAGAAGACAACGCGGAGAAGGAAGTGAGGGGCACAGAGGTAGCAGCTTTGGATGCAACGAGGGCAGGAGGCGGCATGGTCAGACAACAATGGTGGTGACTCGAAAATGCTGGAGCGCCAGCATTCCTATGCGGAGTTGGGATAGGAGCACCACGAGACGAAATCCACACCAAGTAGGAAAAGCTGTGGGAAAAAAAGCAGAGAGATTTGAGAGAGGTGAGTTGGTGTTACGGGTGCAATGAATCGAAGTGAGTATTGCACTAAGGTGTCAAAACGAGTACTAAATGTGAGCGAAGGCATGAGCGAACATTTATACGCGAAACATGCAAACGGTAACGCGGTGCGTGCGAGCTAGCTAGTGCTACGCTGGAAACGAGGCTCGGGCTAGTCCCGAAGCGTAGGCCGACACGGCCAGGCCAGCAGTGCAAGGCTTGGTGAAACAGTGCGCGTGAAGTCGGCGAAGCCCCGTTAGCAGTAACGGGCGAACAACGGCTGTTGCTGTACGCGATGTAGTCGGGCTCCGTAAGGAATGCCGAGAAAATTCCTTACACTACCCCCCCTGCTGCGATCAGAAGTTGATCGTGGCCTAAGATTTACTCGGGAAGGTTCGCACGCAGAGAAGTGATGTTGGTGGGTAGAGCTCTCGTTATCAAACCAAATTGGTCTGATTTTCTGATTTTCAGACCTTGATTTTTGTTTTCATCTGATTTTCAAGACGAGGATTTTTACTTCGTCTGATCTGTAAGATAACGAATTTCAGTTCATATAATTTTTTAGAGGAAGCCTTATACTTCGTCTGCGATTTCAGATAGGGGGTTGCATTTTGTCAGATATCGACCCCAATCCCCTCTTCCCCCTGTCAGAATCCCAGTCACTAACCATTGGGATAGAAGGGCTTGTTTCAGTAGCGGGTCAGTGCGCCCATAACCCCCCAGGCAAACGCGCCTGTAACCCCCTCTAGGATCGATCGAGGATCTCACAGTGTAGCTCTACTGACACCCCCCCACACTGGGAGGCCCAGGACTGAGCACCAGGGCCTCAGATTTCAGCGAAAAAAGGCTGATTTGGGTTAAAAAGGCTGAGATTTCAGACTTCTTTTAGAAGCAAGGCTGAATTTTCAGCCATTTTTCTGAAATTAGTAGGAAAAACTATGAGATTTCTAGTGTAAAATGGCATAAAATGACATATTTCTCTGATTTTCAGCGCAGATTTTTGTACGAACTCTGATTGATCAGCCTAGCCCAAAACCAATCTAAGGCCCTGCTGAGCACAGTGGCAACGGCCAACATGTGCATACACCGGGATTCGAACCCGAGACCGTTATGATACCATGTCAGAATCCCAACCACTAGACCACTGGGATAAAAGGGCTTATTTCAGTAGCGGGTCAGTGCGCCCATAACCCCCCAGGCAAACGCGCCTGTAACCCCCCCTAGGATCGATCGGGGATCTCACAGTGTAGCTCTACTGACACCCCCCCCCCTCTTCCCCCCCGATCCCTCGCTTCTGTAACAGCGCAGCCCCCCATTTGATGCCATCGCTCCTCGTCCCTATATTACTGGCCTATTCCAGCCCTTCTCCCCCTTTCCCCAAGCCTTAGGTCCCTTCCCCAGGTCCCCGCTCCTAGCCTAGCCCGCTTTCCTCTCGAAAAGTCTCGCAACAGCCCAACACCCCCAGCCGAACTCCCCCGAAGTCCTTGTCGCAGCTCAACACCAACCCCCCCTGCCCTCAGCATGCCGCGAGCTGCCCAACAACCTTCCACATTTAGGTTGTGTCGCCCTGAATCGATATACGGTAATACACTACACGATGCAATTTGAAAAAAAAAATAGACAGCACAATCTATTTCAGCTGAAAAATCAGACGTGGCGTTTGCACTCGTCTAAAAGTTCAGACTAACCTTTTTTCCTCGTCAAAACGTCAGACCAAACAAAAAAATTTATACATGTCTTCAGACGGGCTTGAATCCTAGCAAGAGCCCTGTTGGTGGGCCCTTGACCTCAATAGCAGAGTGAATGTAAAATGCTTTGAGCTAATTTAAAACATGCAAATGCAGCAAATATAAATATGAGTACAGGGGAGATGAAACGACCAAGCTAGCCATGTACTTTAAGGGGTACATTCCCTTATTCAAATACATTCCCAACCGTGCGGCGCGAACAGTTACGAAACTGTTCCGCCGAAACCATCCTGCTTGCAGCTGCCTGATGTTGTCTACTCCGACGGTCCAGATGCGTCCCAACTGTCTGACGCTTCGAGTCGATTCCAACCGTCTGACGCTTCGCGTTCATTTGCGATACTGCGTGCTTCTCTTTGCTGCGGTGAGGAGTGCACAGTTATATTCAAGTATTACTATTCGTAACACCCCCCTTCACTCCTGGCGGTAGCTCGACTTGACCTGCTTGACCACGCCGCTGAGTTTGGAGCAGTGCTGATAATGCTGGCGTGGCAGTCGCTTCGTGAGGAAGTCTGCTGCCATGTCACCGGTCGGGCAGTAGGTCAAGTTGACCTTGCCCTTGTCCACCTCATCCTTCACGAAGAAGTACCGCAGCGCAATGTGCTTGGTGCGGTTGACGAAACCAGGTTTGTCCGCGATGCGAATAGCGCTCTGGTTGTCGCAGTGAAGGCAAAATGTGGGCAAAGCTGGAATTTTCGCCACTTGCAGGAGTTCCTGCAAGTAGAGGCCTTCGCGAACTCCTGTGGTTGATGCGATGAATTCCGCTTCGGCTGATGACAGGGCAACTAGCTCCTGCTTCTTCGAGTTCCAGGAGATTGGTCCAGCTGGCTCGAGTCAGAACAGGAAGCCAGTCCTGGACCGTCGATTATCGGGGTCTGCTACGTGATCGGCGTCCACATAGCCGATGGGGTTGAAGGATGTAGTTGGTGCAGTTGAGTAGCACAGCCCAATCTTAGGCGTTGAAACGAAGAACTGAAGGGCGCGCTGCAGATCCAGAAGATTCTCAGCCGTTGGTTTGCGTGAGTACTGCGCCAGCTGACTGGCGATGTACGAGAGGTCTGGCCTGCAGGTGACAGAGGCGAAGAGGAGGCATCCCAACTGCTGCTGGTAAGTCTGAATCCCAGCAGGGGATAGGGGTTTGTTGTCGGGTTTGTGGTTCGGTCCGGGAGTTCGGTAGGGAGTTGAGAGAGGTGCAGGTGAAATGTTGAACCGCTTCCCTAACTCCTCTGCGTACTTAGCCGCTGAGAGATGAATGGCCTCAGGCGCGTAGGAGATGTTGAGGCCTAGACACTGCTTCACCTCGTAGTTGCACGTGATGTCGACACGCCCCGCCAAGGCCTTATCGAACTGCTCGAGAAGCTCGCTGTTTGAGCCTGTGTAAAGCAGGTCGTCGACGTACATCGTGAGGAGAATGTATTCCCCGCGGAATTTTGCGACGATACATCCCTGGATCATGCGGCATCTGCTTGAATCCGATTTCAAGCAGGATGTTGTGCATGTACTGCTGCCACAGCCTCGGAGCCTGTTTGATCCCGTAGAGTGACTTGCGCAGTTGGCACACGCGCGAGTCCCCTTCGCCGTAGGTGTGCAGCTGCTCCGCGTAGATCACGGCGTCCACTAACGCGTACAGGAACGCGTTCTTCACGTCGATCTGGCGGAGTGGTAGGTGCCTTGCAGCTGCAATGGCGATCAGGATTCGAACGGAGGTATGGCGGCTAACTGGGCCGAACGTCTGGTCGAAGTCGATGCCATGCCTCTGATCGTAGCCGCGAACCATCCAACGCGCCTTGAAGCGCTCGATCGTTCCGTCCGCTGCGGTTTTCACGCGGAAGACCCACTTCCCCGAGAGGATTCTTGCGCCTTTGATCGCCGCGCGGTCGACTAGCACCCAGGTGTCTCGTGACTCCAGCGCCTTGATCTCTGCGTCCATTGCTTCGCGCCATTCCTTGCTGTGTGGTCCAGAAAGAGCTTCGCGCGGATTTCGGGGCTCGATGACACGTGGAGCCTGTCAAACATTATATATGTTGTGCTTGTTTAGGCTACAGTGGGTTAGCCTATAGGGGGTACACAATTCTAGGGCTAGGTATTTGTACTGCTTTCACTGTTAGTTCAATCATTCCTGTTCGTTCATTTCAACATGGTATAGAGCAGGTCCTTCGCTAGGACCGTTTTTTTTTTAAGGCCCACCACTACCTACCTACCTACCTACCTACCTACCTAACTGCGCCCTAGGGCGCCTCGCCCCTTACGGCCCCGCGCTCGCCCCTTAGCGACCCCGTCGGCCCCGCGATCGCCCCTAACGGCCCCGTCGGCCCCACGCTCACGCCCCTAGCGGCCTCGAACGGCCCCGCGCTCGCCCCTAGAGGCCCCGAACGGCCCCGCGCTCGCCCCTAGAGGCCTTGAACGGCTCCGCGCTCGCCCCTACAGGCCCCGTACAGCCCCGCGCTCGCCCCTAGCGGCCCTGAACGACCCCGC